CGCGGCTGAGATTGTAATTTTCCACGATGGACAGCTAATATAAGAATTATATTTATCCGCACGTTGTGTCTGTCGAAATCCAAAAAAAGTGCATTATTCACAATATTCAACCCTTCGCTGAGCACAGCGGTCTATACAATTTACGACAGTGCATTACACAAGCATCATGACATAATATTATATTGCAATAATAATATTTCCGTTCGCTTGTTTTTTTTTTTTTAAATTAAAGTGTTTGTAGGTACTTACCTATAAGACAAAATGTTAAGTTTAAAAAAAATTGACTTAACTTCACTATAAGTAGGTGTATTGTACGCGTACAATGCGTGTACGCCGTTAAGCGCCTACAATTAATTACCTAACTAATTACTCGTATAGTTATAATAATAATAATATATGACGTGATAACCAACGCGTATTATGTAGAGGAAATCAAATCGAGTATAATATACTGTCAAGTTGTGTGTAGAAGTTACTTATGCTACGACTCGGTGCGGAGGATAACTCGATTAAATACTAATTAAATAATAAATATACTATTACTATATAATGTTTAAACAACGTTTGTAAGACTCGCTTCGGTGCCGAGACTCGGGTATTATACATGTTTTTATGGATATAATATGAGTGATGTCTTATAATAGTTTGTCGCTGCCACAGCTATGGCTGAAGGCGTTATCGAACGATGAGTTACAACGTTATATACGTATACATATATAGATCGCGATTATAAATTATAATTTTATACGTGTGTACAATATTTAGGCACGATTCGTATGAGCTTATGTCGCAGCACTATTATATTTAATAGTTGTTGATTATGGTATTATTATAATACGCGCTGCAACAGTCAGTAAACATTTAAATGTCAAATCTAGTAATTAGGCTATAAAATAACGCCATATATATATATATCTGCCCATATATATATAGCGCGCCCATATACTGCCTGCATAGTGTCGAATGTTGTCGTTACTATGTTTGATAAAGTCCAATTTAGCCATATATATATATATATATATATATATCGCTACTATGCCGACACTGCTATAATGTCGACGAAAAGTCGACGAATATTCGTTTATGGGCGGCAGCAGTGTCGGAGAGTAGGTGGTAATTTCAATCAGAAGTTGTATTGTACAACGGAATTACTTTTCGTGTAATTCGACGGTATAATTTAATTATATAGCGTATTGTTTATGCGTAATTCAAGTTGCTTTTTAATAGTAACACAACTAAACTATAGGGTAGGCACTCGTCATACTTTATTTTTTCCAACACATTTTGAGGGGCGTGGACCAGTTGCGCCTAAAACAATATTTGTATTTTAGGTCAGTACACCAATAATTGCGCTACTTATATTGTAGGTTCCTTATTTTTACATGATGGGCATATGTAAGTTACTACACGGCGGAAAAAGTTACATATGTATATGCACAGTAAATGTGCAACTTTTAACCTTTATTTTAGTCCAAAAATAGTCGTTGCCGATTTTGAACGAGCGATTCATTTTGCTGTTGAAAAAGTTTAACCTTCAATAACTCTGGTAGGTTGTAGGTTTCATTTCACACAAGCTTGGTGTAGGAATATCCAAAGATGTGGACTACAAGCTGAGTATAATTAACACAGATTCTGAAATAGGAAAATGGCCACATTTAATTTTTGGCCTGTCACTTTTTCCACACTATGAAGTGGAGGATGTTTTTGTAAATGAATTAATGACAATTCAGCCAACGAATTCAAATGTCACTAAATTCACTGACTATATCGTTGAAAATGATATATCATCTACCTCTACATTCCCTCCCATATACTGTGGGCATCGGATACAATAAGCTCTGAACGTACAACCAATGCATGTGAAAGTTTTCATCAAATTTTTATTCCTCACATCCAAATATTTTTGTCTTTCCAAAAGCAATTATAGAAACACAAACCAACACTTATATTGCAATAAACAGTACTGAAGAAGATAAATATACATACAACCGAGCGTATTTAGTGAAGAAAGTGGCCATGGAATCTATTATTGAGAAATACAAATCCTTAAAAATTACTAGCAAAGAATTTTTTAAATCAGTTTCTTATTATTACAGTAAAACATAAAAAAACATTAAATGAAAAACATCAATTGTAATTATATTTTTATTGTACAATTATTATGAATATTGACGTTTATTGTAATAATATTATAAACCTTGAAAACAACTGAGCGCAATTGGCATATCGACCCAAAGAAGACAGAGCGCAATTGGTATATCGACCCAAAAAAAGACAGAGCACAATTGGTATATTAAAAGGTCATTTTAAGCGCAATTGGTAAGGCTACATGACATAAGCGCCAAAGGTACAAAAATGACCTATCATTTGCGCCAAAATTTGTATGACATAAGCGCCAATCTAATATTGTATACCTGTTGTACTTAACACATGGCATAAGCGCCAAAGGTATAATAATGACCTATCATTTGCGCCAAATTTAATATTTTATTTCATATAATATATTACATTAAAAAAATGTTCAATAATAAATTGTTAAAATATAATATGAGTATAGGTATGTATACATGCAATAAATATAAATTTAATAAATTGGTTGAGTTTTTGTAAAATAATACATTTATCGATTAAGATTAAACGTTTGGAGTTTTTGATCGATATAGTTCTAATTATAATATTATCTGTTATTTAATATCTTTTAACCGTAGCACCAGTGGCGGCTCGTGGTGTTCAAAGTAGGCGGTGTGTAATTATTGCAAAAGTTTATTTTAAAAAAATTAGTCTGTTTTAAGCATAAATGTAATTAGTAAAATATTTATTAGCATTTTTAATTTTGAGATTATACAGTTTTAGAAAATAATATTAAGTACTTTAAAAAATATTAATTCGGAGTATAATAATAATTGTCGTTTGTTTGTTTTTAAAATTTAATTTTTTTATATAATAAATACAGTTAAACAGATATTTGTTAAAATTAATTTATTATTATACATAAATGCATTATTATTATACATTTTCACTATTATATCTAATTAATATATGTGGTGAGCTCACACTTGCACACCTAGGCACGAGCCGCCACTGCGTAGCACACAGGTACCTAGAATTTTGGCGCTTATATACGATACGATTTTGGCGCTTTTGTAAAATACGATTTTTTTTCTCATCTCATTTTGGCGCTTATGTACGATACGATTTTGGCGCTTTTGTAAGGTACGATTTTTTTTTTCTTATCACATTTTGGCGCTTATGTCTTTCACCGATTGGTAAATTCCCATTTTGAGGACCAACTGATAATATTGCCAGCGACAATATAGTACTGTACAGGTAGGTATTATGCCCTGCACCGAAGTATATACTTTTTCCGACGATAGCGTATTTTTGAAAAAGCTATTCGACAAGAAAGTTTTTTATTTTCAATATAGGTAAGACGGTGAGTTATTATATTTCAAATTGTAGAGATTTGGAGAATGCGCGTTATCGTTTAAAACATGTAAGCGTAAGAATTTAAGAATAAAATATAGTGCTAAACGATTATCGTATTTTTTGGTTCTCAAATAAAATATTTTTATCTACATAATTTCATATTATCATACATTAATGATTATACTTGGTTGTACATCCATATAATGACGTTTTGGCGGCGTAATTACATTAGATAAGCTATAAAGCGACGTTTTCGAAAATAATAATTATCGACTCGTCATGCGATTCGGCCGAATGGAAAAAGTATAACTCGATGACAATTTAATTACAACATATATTTTGATCACCGCACGAGTAATTATTATAATTACTGACAAAAAATGTGCATATAATATGACTTCCCGACACCGCTGTGGTGTAGCGTTTACGGTTTCCAACTGCAGTATACACGTCACATGGGAATGGGCATGTCGTGACCATAATGTTGCAGGTTATGCCGTTGGTCTAATCGTGGTTTATGGTCATGTGGGGTAACTATTATATGCACGCGCGTACCTACGTCGTATATTATTTATAAACGGTCCAACTGTAACTATTTGTTTCGGTACATTTTTGGGGGGGAGGGCGACGAACGGTTTATTAATATTCGTGTGCAGCAGCTGTCGAGCGTAGTAGTAGTAGTAGTAGTAGTAGTAGTCGGATACATAAAGGCGAAAGCGGAGTGAAAAATCTGTCGCGCAGGTCGTGACGATGACAGCGATGAGCCTACCCATGCCTACCTTATTATACGCATATACCGCATATTATACGACTACGACTACTGCGACACACACGATGTCGTAGCGAAATAATAATAATATTACAGCGATCGCACCGGTTTCGGCGCGCCGATCCGCCGCGCGCGCGCGCGCGCCGGAACCGGATCGGTAGGGGGACAGCCGCCGAACCGGGAGGGTGAACCCCGCACCGCGCGCCCATTGGTCCGCGCCATGCACTCCGCCGGCCGGATTGGTCGCGGCGGCCAGCACGTGCTGTCGCGGGCGATGCCCAAACGGCGGCGGCGGCGGCGGCGGCGACGGGGGCCGAACACCTGTCCGCGGCGCGGTGATATGCCGGGCGCGCGGCCGACGGGTGGGGGGACCGTGGAACCAGAACCACCTCTTCTCAACCGGAGGCGACCGGCACTCGCTCGCATTCTCTTCGGCGACCCACACCGGAGAACGCGCCCGCCGCCGCACCGCATCTCAGAGTGAGTTCGACGCCGGTGCACCACGTACATCACATTCCACTCGTCGCCGTCGCCGTCGTCGCACGTCTCTCGTCTCGTGTCGCACGATCTGCAACGATAACACACTGACTCGATGATTTATTGAACTACGTTTTTTTTTCCTCCGCGAGTGATTCGATAAAAATAAATAAACAAATAAATAAAATCACCGAACGAATTATACGTTCTTTTTTTATTTTTTTTTTCGAATTATTTTTCGGCCGTCTCCGGCTCTCCCGTCCCGAGGCCCGCAGACGAACCGCCGCCGCCCCGGACCTGCAGCCGCAGCGCTCGGAGTGCACGTACAATGCATATTTTCGAAGACCAACCGGCAGCCACGATGATGCACCACAAGTTGACTTCGAAGAAAATGGACTACTCTCACTGCCCGCTCAAGAAACGTCCCGTGCACTTTGTCAAATACGAGTACATCAAAGAAGAGATGGATTTCGGTAAATATTAAAATCACATAAGAGATATTTCATATACCATTGTCGCGTACGTCGTCGTATCATCGAGAGTGTGCATCTCGCGCATTCGTAAATCTTTAAATCATTTTAAGACGACGGGTTGTTTTTTTTTTTTGGCCGTCTTTAGAAATATTTGATAATTCGATGTGTTTTTATAATATATTATCTCATACTCGCGACGTACCCGTATATGTATATATAGATCCTTTTACGTTTGGAAAAAAAATTCACTTGCTCGCCACGTGAATAATATTATAATATCATGTATATCATATACGACGATGCGCAACATATAGTGTGATGATGGGAACCAGTGCGGCACCGACCGTGGGAAATGCCCTCCGAGGGTCACCCTTTTTTTTTTTTTGATTCGGTGCACGACGTTTTCGCAATACGGTGCACTTCACCCCTCGCCAAACAACAATAATAATAATAATAATAATAAATAAATAAACCGTTATAAACGGCGATGTAAATCACTGCATGTTAAACACCCAATTATACGTCACCGCTATAATAGTACGACACTGATATTTTTCTTAGCACTATTATAGTCCGACGGACGAAATTGGGTGTCACCATTTGAAGAACCAAAAATAATAAGACCCCAAAACCATCGCTCGGAAAACAAGTAATTCTGCGTCACAGGCAGAAGAAACGATATCGGTTTTCGCGATGTTACGACATGATATTATAATATTAAGGTTTTCGATCTAAACAGAATAATTGGTTATTTTTTCACGTCTCCCTGCGAAAATAAATTCGACAGCCTCAGAAATAAAAATAACGTCAAGAGCATTGTGTCGAATGCTATGGTTATGTGCGCGTCTCAGTCTTAGGGTTATGCGTCTACGTTTTCAGGATTTTTAAAGAGTATATACCTACTCAAAATGTTCCATATAAGAATGTAGAGCGAAATACTGACGAAACCTGAGCATGAAGTAGTATTATTGTAGTCGTCAACTATCCCGAATATTATGCCCACCCGGCAAAGTCCTAAACAGCACGCTCCTTATTCTGCACTAAATCCTGGAGCTGGAGGATAGCGTCGCTGGAGCAATCTGCACATAGATTTTCCGTCGATGCGATAAATCAAAAAATTATAACCATATAATTGATAATGTTTCCATCATACCGTGTAACTTGATGCTCGTTAAGACGTCGTAATTCATAATATTATTCATATTATACCTTATGTTATTATGTTTTTCGCCATTAATATTTTAATGTAGGCTATACAGACCATTTAAAGTATTTCACCCGAAAAAATCTTTAAAATCAAATAAAAACGTAAAATAAATAAACATCACGGTAGATGGTAACATAATAGTTAAAAAACCAAAAAAAAAAAATACTTATCGATTCAGATAGTGTCAAATAATAAATAATATTAATCGAAAATGATTTTTGTTTTTGCGCAGACAACACGGACGAATGTTTGGAACCGGAAAACCTGAGCACTAAACCGCAAGATCTGAGCGTGAAATGCAAATCGGAATCGGTCGCGTCGGTGGAGGTGAAAAGAGAACCGCCGCCACCGTACGGACAACACGAAAACGCCGTGGCGCCCGTGTCGTCGTACTACATCCAAAACTTACAACAACAACAACAACAACAACAACAACAACAACAGCAACAGCAACAACATCAGCAACAGCTGCAGCACCAGCACCAGCAGCAGCAGCAACTGCGGCAGCAAGAACAACAAGAACAACACAACCGCCAACAGCATCACCGCCAACAGCAGCAACCGCTACAGCCGACGGCCGTCAAGGCGGGTCCGCTGGAACCGCTGTGCCTGAACATCGCGGGCGACCACCACCCGGCCACCGCGCAGGCCGCGGTCGCGGCGTACCATCACCACCACAACCGGCATCACTACGTGCAAGCCATAACGCCGAGGCCCGTGCCCGCCCAGTACCCGAGCACCGGTTACCTGTCCGGTTACATGTACCAGCACGGCGGCAGCACGATGTTGGTGGCGGACAGGGCGTACCCCGCCGTGCCCGCGGCGGTCCCGTACCCGCCGGCCCTGATGACGGTCGCCAGAGACGCGTCCCTATCGCCGCCCGGCAACTCGGCCCGCACCGGTTCCGCTTTCAAGCCGCTCGTGCAGCTCACGTCGCCCGCCGCCGGCGTGACGCCGATCCGCAGCCCGCCGGCCGCCTTGCCGATCAACTGGTACGGACGGACCGCGGTCGGCGGTTGGTCGCCGTCGTCGGCCGACGCGGTCGACTCGTCGCCGCCACTGCCGCCGCCGTCGTCGTCGGCCTCGTCGGCGTCGGCCGCATCGCCGGGCTACGGGCCGCCGTCGCACCATCAACGCCTGCAGCAACAGACGCCGGCGCCGCAGCAGCAACAGTACCAACTGCAGCAGTATTCGGGCGAGAGCGACGGCACCACCGCGTCGTCTTCGGCCGGAGCGGGAGGCGGCGCCAAGCGCAAGTCCAACGTCGCCGCCGCCGCCGTCACCGTCACCGCGGCCCCGGGCCGGTACAAGTGCGCCACGTGCTCGAAGACGTACTCGACCCTGTCCGGGCTGACCAAGCACCAGCAGTACCACTGCACGGACGACGAGACGCAGTGCGCCGCGGCCGCCAAGACGTTCCACTGCAAGTACTGCGACAAGGCGTACAACACGCTCGGCGCGCTCAAGATGCACATCCGCACACACACGCTGCCGTGCATCTGCAAGCTGTGCGGCAAGGCGTTCAGCCGGCCGTGGCTGTTGCAGGGACACATCCGCACCCACACCGGCGAGAAGCCGTTCTCGTGCCAGCACTGCAACCGGGCGTTCGCCGACAGGTCCAACTTGCGCGCCCACCTGCAGACCCACTCGGACGTCAAGAAGTACTCGTGCACCACGTGCAGCAAGACGTTCAGCCGCATGTCGCTGCTCACCAAGCACTGCGACACCGGGTGTCCGAGGCTGTTGCCCCACCACCAGCAACAGCAACAGCAACAGCAACAGACGGTTTAGATGACTGCAACCGTTGCGCCACTACCTATATATATATATATATAGCCGCTGCGCAGCTGTACCGCCATTATTGCGTATATTATATGTTAAATTATTATTAAACATATTATTTATATTATCATTATTATTATTATTATCATATTCGTTTATGGTTATCATTATTATTTTTTATTATTATTACAAACTATTATTATTATTATTATTATTATTATTTTTTTTTTTTTTGTCGACGCGGGCGCGATAGAGCATTCCTATATTTTGTAATTTATTATTATATGTTGTTAAAAACCGAAAGAGTGTCCGGTAAAAAAAGACTTGTGAAAAAAAAAAAGGCATTTAAATCTCTGCCGATCCGCATTACCTACGACGTGCGCCCGTGTCCACAATATTATTATGTAAAATGTTTTATCTACTATTAGACGTACCCTAGTCACTTTACTATCATCGATATAATATCCCCGCACTGTGTTTAGACGTTAAGTTCTTTTTTTGTCTCCCGCGACTCATTACTATTATTATTTTCATTATTATTATTATTATTACTTTAATTTTGTTTAACGGGTATACTTATGTGCGGACGGCGACGACGACGGTTTTGATGCGGTGACACACCGCGCACGTACAATATCGTGAAAATCCGTCAGCGCCCGTTCGCCGTACCCGGAGGTGCCTATAATATCATTATATTAAAAAATATTATTATTTCGCTTTGGGTGCATGAACGCTAGTTATTACGATATCACGCTTATATATTATACACACTATTATATTTATACATACAACCGAATTTTATTATTACACGCGTATATCAATATACGTTCTTATATACTATATTATATTTTTATCATTGTAATATATATATATATATATATATGTGTGCATTAAAACGAACACATTATATAATAATATATGGACTGCCGGTGTACTGTTTAAGTCGCCATAATGTTTAACTAGTCGTTCCCGTCGTTGTACACAATAACAGCGAGTGGCATGATCACGCGCGGTTATAACGACGTAATTTATATATAATATCATAACAGTCATTATCGTATATAATAAATATAATATACACATAGTATTATAATTCTGTATTATAATATAAAATTATGTGTCGTGAATATATTATAATATGTATTATTTGTATCATTATTGTCATTATTATTATTATTATTATTATTTTTTTTTTTTATTTTTTTTTTCTGTATTATTTAACAAACGCATTACCTATACCTATATATAATATCATCAATATTTTGTCAACGTGTTTCATATTTAATAAAGACAAAAAACGTGATACACAATATACATATACTTTTGTTGGATTTTTTCCCGGGACGCCAAAGTCCCTGCGATTATGCCCGTTTTTTAAGCCGTCTCGTCGCGGCTGCCGCGATTTCCGAAGACGATTGTACGATATATGCATAATAATGTACATAATATAGTACAATATATCACAATACATCGAGTACCTGCAACAGTGCACTGACAGGGTTCTGAAGGGCGAACAGGTTTATTATATTATTATTATTATAATTTTTTTTTTTCCGTCTTCTGCTTTTCCACGATCGTCATCGCGACTACCTGCCGCGAGACGATTCGGCCCCGATCGGGGCGGTGCGTGTCAAAAACACTCGTGAGAAACCCACGAACGGATGTGCAGGCGGCAACCGGGATGTAATAGTAATAATATTAATAATAATAATATGTATCGGGATCGCGGGACGCAGCAAACATTCGAAATCCCATCGCGGTTCGTCGACAATGGCCGGATTTCTCGTTTGTGTCAGGTCAGTAGCGATTTTGAAGGAGCGAACTATACTGTTGTAGTGTGCACTGTACTACCTGTACGATGAATGCAAACACCGGCGGCGGCGTCAGAAAGAAAAGGAAGGGGAAAAAGGAAAAGATGAAGAAAAAAAGTAGGTAGTCCGTGAAGGTGGGTAGGTACATAATATTATATATGTACATGTGTGTGTGTGTGTGTGTGTGAGTAGACACTGTATACATCACGCATGATGAAAACACGAGTCGCGCTCCGCGGGTTCTCATCAGAACCGATCGGGTGTACGTTTCCCAGCGCATTACCCCCGGAGGAATTACCTGCGGGGGCGGCCGATTTCTGCAGACCGCGAATTGACACATATATTGTACATTATACATGTATACATAATAATAATAATAATAATAATAATAATAATATGATGTTTCAATGAGAGCGTATAGCTCAGTAGTTGTTCGCCATTCAGAATTTCGTCCCGAAAAAAACAACCTGCACCGCTGGCTGAGTATATGATTGTAATAATATATATATACATATATATCGTATTATACATTATATGCGTGTGAAAATATTTGATTGACTCGACGGCCGTCGACTACCTGTTATGATGTGTATTATATTTTGGGTGCAGTATGAAAAATATGCCTGGAAATTGATAACGCGTTTGGGTGCGCAACTGCTACGGAAAGCATTCCAATTTTCACTCGAATATCGTATTTGAATCACTCACCGAATCGAGTCGTATGTATTTGTAAATGCGCTACATTTTCGTGTAATATTATGCGACGACGTGTTTCTTACAGGTAGGTGCACTGTGTGCGTGTTTGTGAAGAAGAATAACAAATAAATTACGAAAAGAAACTGATGAAAAATTAAAATGTGCGCAAAAACGTTGGGCTACTTATCTATAAACAGAGGTGCATTTAACAATTTTCCGCCCCTATCCAAAACAAAACTTCTATTTGATTAAATATCCTCAAATAAATTTATTTTTTCAACAGGCACCTGATATTATGCGATTATTTTTTCATTCAAGTAAACTAAAAAAAAATCTGATTCAAATATAACATCTTCTGTTTATTTTTTTTAAGTACAACGTTTATAAGAAAAACATAATTTAATTAATATAACAAAAAAAATAATTCAATACATTTTATAGACTATATACAAGAAAAAATACTTTAAAACACATGTACAAATTAGAACAACGGTTTGTGGAAAAAAAATTAATCAGTAACATAAAAATAATTAGCATAGATCAGAATTAAAATCAAGACGTTTTTTAAAAAGCAATAAATCTTTCAATATTTTTGGGAGGCTATTGAAACAACTTCCTCGTGAAATTACTTCTAGCCTCTAGGTAAAGCTATAATAGTTTCGGAATCAGTGTAATATGAAAATATATGCAAATAAACGTATGAGCCCTGCAAACTTGATACTAAATTGAGAAGTATAATTACGACCAAAAGTTGTATGGATTAATGTCTAAAAGTGTTCTGTTTAGATAAATGCTCGCCCTAACGTGTTGCCCATATTATATTGACCCATATAGCCATATATGTGTGAATTATATAATAAATATTGACCAATGTATACCATGAATTATCATTTGTTTACATAATATCATCATAATAAAGCGCATTGTGCAGCATTCTTGAGCGAGCATTTAAGTTCTCAAAAATCCCTATATTGCCACAAAATACGAAATAATAATACCAACAAAACAAAAATGTCTACTGTGAAATTAAAGAAATCGAAAAATCAAAAATAATCCCCGTTGATAAATGGCCCTTTTCGAAACCCTTAGTGGACAAGTTGTGGTCAATTGACTATAATAAGAATAGTCAAAGACACATAACATAGAATTGGTCCATATCTATATATACTAAAATTGACAAAAGGAGAACGTTCCAAAAGGATAAATGACTATAAATGACCTAAATTCATTTTCTGTGGATCAGTTAGCTGTATATATACGAGATAAAACATAATATCCCTCGTGAACTGTATTTATAATAAAATATAATATGAAGCAATAGCACAATAAAAGACATCGACGTTTAAATACAACGCGCGAGTACTATACACGTGACAAAGCCACTAATACTATTTATAACGAATATAATAACATTTTTAAAAGAAATTATATACTTATAGAAAGGATAATAATATAGGTATAGGTAGTATAACAAAAAAAAATGTATATGAATTTAAACATCAGAGTAAAATATATGTTCGCAATTAACATAATAATATGTATAAATATTATCATAAGGCAAATAACTATGATGTTTTTAGATGCATAAAAAAATTTACTGAGTTTACAATATTATCATTACAATTAAAATTAAAATTGTACCTATAGGTAATAGGTAGGTTTATATTGTATAGTTCGTTGGTTTAATGGATTATAATGCCCCGAAGGCAGCTGCAGAACAACAAAATTAACACAAGTATATAATATTATGATCAGGATCTATTTTTTATGTATATAAAGTAGATATATAGGTGTACTTACAAGTAAAACTAACATACGAATAGGTACAATAAAATACCTACCTAATAATAATAGGCATATACGATAAACGCAATAAATGTAATTAATGTTTTTTTGTACATTTAAACTTAATTTTTGTCATAGCTCACAAGTATTTAATCGAGGTAGGTCATGCTATATATTTTGTCATTGCCGTCGCAGCAGTCTGTGAATAAAGAATTTTTTTTTAATATGATTTATTATTTTTAAAGTGTATAGGGTTTATTTTATAACTTTTTTGAGTTTATATATTCATTATTATTATTATAACAAAACTATTTTTGACAAAAAATGTTAGAAAATACGAATTTATCAGTTTGTATACCTAAATTATAATCTGCCCAATTAACACGATATTTTTCGAACAATACCGCCGCACTAAAGAATAAAATATAGAGTATCACAATTTAAATTCCAACGATTTTTAGAACCACACGTGAGCGCTATCGTTAGCGTCTGTAGTTTTTAATGCGTGAAATTCTCTGGCTCGGATGCATTTATGATGCATTCACAAACTATACGACTGTAAAATATATAACACAACTTCAAGCGACGAGCATATTGCTTATAAGTTATAATACATTATAATAGTATAGCGTAGTGGGTATCCAAGATGCAACGAGTAACGACTTGGTGGATAAAACGGTCAATAGTTTATCTTATCGATGTGATTACGATTTGTTCATTGATGACGAAATCCAAGTACCTAACTACTATAGGGACATTTACAACCACGACTGTGCGGTAAAAGTGAATGGGTCTATACTATACATCGTAGTATCGTACAATATAATCGTGC